TTTTTTTTTTATATAATTTATAACAGATATTTATTGACTAATATGTTTATATTGAAATTCTATGATACCAATTCGCCCCCTCCTTAAATGAGCTTCAGATCCTCTACTGAGTAAGTGGTTAATTCTGTTTTTTTTATGGTTATTTTATGTTCGATTTTGGACGAAATTACATAGGTATTAAATTTCCAAGAATAACGATTTTAGTTATTTTGTTGTAATTTTATAATATTAATTCAACTTACCCGCTACCGTATAAATAATAAGTAGCATAGGCGCAATTTCAGTTTTTAACTTGCGTGGGCTTAACATATTTAAATATAATAGACCCGTGGGGGGCTCCACTCCCCCCCACACCCACTATTTGAATATCACAATTATATTTTTCACCATTCTACATTAATATATTATAATACATCTATTAATGAAACTAAAAATATTCGTATCAAAACAAATAACAACATTTAGGTATTTATATTTTATACAATCTAACACCATATGTTGGTGCACGGGCTCGTTTCTATGTTTAAATTTTAGAAAAAAATTTCTTCAAACAACGTTTACTGTATTAGGTATGTAGATTAGATAATTAATGAAGGATTAATACTTCAATTTAAATACAAATTTTTGGAGGCTCTAATTTTAATATTTGAGGTGCTAAGTCCCTCCAAGCTCCTCCCCCCAAATTGCGCCTATGATAAGTAATAACAATAGGTATAAAGTATAAACCTAATATAAAATATCCACATTGACACTGACAAACCGTCTCCGCTCAGAATCGTTTTTCGTATACAATGATATTATATCATTGAATTCAAATCTAATACCATCCATTGTACAGTGACCCACTTGTAACGTACTGTACAGCAGAGCGAAATCCACATCCCCGATTTTTTTTATTTGACAAAAAAAAAATCATAAAGAGGGTTTTCTAACATAATTTTATAGTATTTCAAATTGCAGTTACAATTCCAATAAGTTCTGTGACATGTGGTCCAGATGTGGCTGACGTTTTTCAAGTATGCAATGAATTAAAAATTAGTTGAGGACAAGTACCTATGCTACAGCAATAGCTTACTGACACATGTCACATGTCCATATTTAAAATAATAAGAGGGATGTTATGTATAAATAATAATATAAAAACTGAATAAGCATGTTGGAAAAATACCTACAGCTCGAAAACCATGAAAATAGGTTTAAAACAATACATTATATTCTTACCAACCAATATCAAATGTAGGTATATGTTATTTGTATTTGTTAAATGGTTGTTAGTACTTAGTTTGTAACTTAAGACATTTTATATCGTAATTATAAGACAATTGTTTACTTTGTACTTTATGCCGTTAAATAGGTAATAATGTTGTAGTTATAACAGAACTTTGTTATTAATGATTTTGAAATTTATGTTTGGGGTGTGGGGTTAAGTATACATAATTTTAGCACCCCATAAAATATATAGCTCTAGTTTTGCCTATGGCTTTTGGAAAAAATTAGTTTAACCTATACCGTATAGATAAACTTTCTAATAGAAAAATAAATTACTTCTAGCAATCAAACTAGGTATTAAATAAATAATATTCTGCTGACGGTTTCCGTTCAAAATCTTTTTTTTTTTATGCAATAGTTGATTTAATTTAAATTTAACACATCCATTGCAGTGACCTGTACTTAAGGTACAAGAGTTAAGGCACACTTGACACCTACAATTTTTTGTTAAAATTATTATTATTTGTGACATATTAACATATGATGAGAGTAAAGTTAAGGACTTAAGGTACAATATTTAACAACAAATGAATTGACATATTAAACAGTAAAAGAAAAGCATAATAATTAAATTAAATAAAAATATTTTTTTTAAATAAAGTTATTGAAGAACATAGAACAAAAATTTTAATATAACATCAGACAAAAAAATTAATTAACAAAATCTTAAAATTATTACGAAATTGGTATAACTTGAATTTCGTAGTGGTTCTTGAAAGAATCAAAATCAAAATTTAATTTTTGCAGTAAATTAGATAATATAACGTACATTGTTGGTACAAAATAAATGTATTATTTAGATGTTAGATCGTGGGGATAAATCTGTAGGTACGAAAAAAGAAATATCTTTAGGAAATTCTCAGCTATAGAAGCGATATTAAATCAGAACCATATTATTTGTGTTCATAAATTCATCCAACATTGAATAAATGGTGCGTTCATATTATTACCAATTGAAAGCATGTTCATAATTTTTAGAAAAAAATGTTTGGCGTTGGATTTATATTTCCAGTGGTTGCAGTGATGCAGTGTCCATAATGTAATCGGACCATTTTATTATTGGGAACATTGTGAATATCTTCTGTAGTTTAATGTGTACCTAATATTCTTTATCATATAAATAATTAATTTAATTTCGTATTTTTCTTTATATCTTGCTTTTCTTGTTATATTAATAAATTATACAGTTCTCAAAAAACGTTATTTAAAAAGGTGTTTAATGACTTTTTAAATAAGTTCACTATTTGTGTTAAATTTTAAATCTATGGAGATCTACATCGGACTTTTTGACTGTCAAAAAAATTGTTGTCAGTCACCAGAGAAAAAATCGTTAAAATAAAAATACTGCCTACATCATTATTGGAAAGCGAATGGTTTTCAATCAAATGGCTCGTTCAGTCTGCGGAATATAAGTATTATCTGAGTAATACATTGATATAATACATAACACTTGGGTCGAGTTAAGTGAAATGAGGAGAAAAACATCCAACACTCAGTCTGCATCAAGTGCACTTTTATTATCCAGTTGACATTTCTTTAACTCCACATGTTTAGTTTAAAACAATTATTAAATTAAAATATTTGAAGTATATAAAATAAGTACTAAAAAATTAATGAAAAATAATTATATATTCTTTTAAACAAAATAAGATGTGGAAGTAAAAGGAGGTAGATCAGTAAAAAAAACTTTTCTAATATTTAATATAGGTATTACAAAAAAAGAACATTTATTTATATATAATTCAATCAAATGTAAAATAATTCTCATAGAGCAATGTACAATAAATTATTTATAAAACTGTACTTAAATTATTACTAATAATTTGTAATTGATAATTAATATAGTTTATAAACCATATGAAACGCATTATAAAAGATATAATATTACGATAAATAGTTATTTAAATTGCAATCGTAAATTACCTACCTACAATCACAATTCATAGAAAGTTATAGATAATAGACTCTAATGGAATTCACAAAAAATTTAGATATGATACACGGAATTGTTGTAATAATAAACATTTTTAATCCTAAAATAATATGGAAATAACAATAAAGAGTTAGTAAAAAAAAGTTAAATAAAGTAAAAACAAAGAATTAAAGTAAACATTAAAAATCTATAAAATCTGTTCAGTACATAAACAAAACAATGTTTAAGATATTTAAAATAAAATATTTTCACACCTATATAAAATGTGTTATAATAATACATAAATAAGAGTAATATTATACAATAAAATTTTTTTTTTTTAATTGAGCTTAAAATTATAATTATAAATTATCAGTTCGAAAGTAAAGATAAAATTTAAAAACCATAAAAGTGTCATACCTACTAAATAATTAATATTAATTATTGAATAATATAGTCATGAACAGTATATAATATGCCTAAAATAGTGTATTTGATAGTCAGTCTGTAGAATTCAGTAATTTACTATATTTTAAACACCCATAAAAAAATATGAAAATGAATAAAATGTTTTAAATTAATTTTTGTATAGATTTAAATGAAAATATATTTACTAACTTAAACTTATCTTACCTTGAAAATATTGGATAATATTATTGCACATTTTTTTTAATGTAAACATGCAATATTTTGTAAAATATTTCTATTTTATGTTATTTTTTTATGAAATGTTAACTATAAATTATATTTTATATTTTATTCTATAAAACACGATTTTGATTACAATATATTTTGTAAAACTAGTGTCATATTTCAATAATTTTGAATGGAATTCGCAGACATGATTTTAAGGTTTACTGTAAAAAAAAAGTCCGTTTGTATATTGTAAGTAATATTATATGAATAAATAATTTAACATATCAAAAATATTTTTTTTTTAAATTATAAAAAAAAAATGTATCTTAGACATAAATAAAGTAAAACATTTAATATAATGGATAGAGACTAAAATATTTTGATCAATATCGGTTATAATGGGCAATATTGTGTGATATCTTGAGATCCATTATAACCAATTTCTAATGCACAAATGTAATATAATTATACAAATATATCTTAATCACATTTAATTTAGTTTTATAATAACTAATGAACACAATACAAAATACATTAACATTATCACTTGTTTAATATTATAATTTGAATATTTAGATATACCTTGTAATTTTAAACTAACCTCGCGATAAAAAAATATTCAACGTGCTCAAATATATCAGTTTCGTGTCCAAGTATGATCTAAAACACAAGTGATTTAAAAATGTTTGATTTTAAAGGAAGATGAAAAGTAAACCACTGTTACTCCATAGAGATACTTGTGTACACAGTAAAATAGCGAGCAATGTCATTTTTGAAACCGACCGTAATTGTTAGTTTAATAAACTTTAATGAAGTGTTTTGTTATTTAATAAAATAGATGTATTCACATAAGTGAAATAAACATCCCGTTTAAGCATACCGAGGGACTTGATAAGGATGTAGTATATTGTTATTACCTACCTAAATTCACACGTCCAATAAGTTTACCCTCTCTTTATTTATGACTGGTATTTAAATAAATACTGTGTGCTTATAGATTGACTTGGCTGAAACAGCTAGCATGGTAAAAATCATTTAAATGTTGATCGACGACAAGCAACATTGACTACTAGGTTAGTTATAAATTGCATGCACTTCATGACTTAGAATTTTTATCGAAGTAGATTTTTAAAGTTGTTTTATGTTTTTATAGCTAATGTTTGACTTGTAGCTGCAGGTTGCTATGGCTCGCTGGTTTTTGGCTGCGTGCCTTTTAGTAACGTCCATTGCAGTTCAGGGTTTAATAGTACCTAGGGGTTACCGTTTAGACTTACACCCGTATCCAGGTGACGGCGTATTCAAAGGCAAAGTCCGCATCGACATCATCAATACAGGAAATCAGTCCGTGGATTCTGTTACACTAGACGTACACTCAACTCTCAATGTGGTCGATCGTGAGGTTAAAGTCACTCGTGTTGCGAATTTGGACTCGTCAGAAGAAGATGAAGTTTCGATGGAAGAAACGTTAGTATAGTGTAAAAAATAAAATAATACAAATTATAGTAAAATACTTTTGTTTTATTTTCGGAAACCAAAACTGAAAAATATTTAAATATTTTTTAGTTCATTAACAGTCACAAAATTAGAAAAACGAAAGGACATACATAAGTTTCAAATCACAACTAAACAGAGCCTCAAGAAAGATATTACATATCAAGTAGAAATTTTATTCGACGGGACTTTAGGAAGTGATTCGTCTAGTCCATTTTATCAATCAACGTATTCTAATTCAAAACATTCACAATTGAAGAAGTTAGTCCTTAAATTTCACGAGTTATATCATAATTATATTATTTTTTAAATGCATTTTTAGATGGTATGTAGCTATGAATTTATTGAAAGGAGGAGGAGCGCATTATGTATTTCCTTGTTTCGAAAAACCTCATTTAAAAACTTGGATAGAGCTATCAGTTGCTCATAAAGGAGACTTTCATGTTTTGACAACTATGCCATTGGTTGATACAACAAATGTGTATGTATATTATTTTATATATGTGGTTACAATAAACGGTTAAAAATTGAATTAAGTTTTTTTTAACTTGCAGGACTTCTGAAGGTGTATGGGTTCGAGATCATTTTTCTAGATCACCACCAATGTCTGTTAATTCTCTAGCCATGTTCCAGTCTGATTTTAAGCATCCACCAATGGGTGGTAAGTTGTATTACAAAAATAGTCAGATTATAGAAATAATAATTATAAATCAAATTATAAGATAAATAATACAATAATTTATATGCAGAGAATAATGGAAATAAAGTTGGTGTGTGGGGTAAAGAAGATATTTTAAGATCGTTGAATACGGCACAAAAAATGCTTCCGGCAGTTCTAGTCAACCTAGAACTTTACTTGTCTAGACCATACCCTCTACCAGAACTAAACTTGGTGGCACTTCCCGGTTATACTGATGATAAGCCTATCGATGCTTGGGGGTTACAAATGTTTAGAGAAGTAGATCTTTCTAAGAAAAGAGATGATTTTTGGATTGCTCATCTTATTGCTAAATACACATCATTACAGTGGACTGATCATCTCACAACGCCACTGTTTCCAACTTCATTAACCCTAGCATTGTCAAAATTCTTAGCTGATAAGATGGCATGGCAGGTAAAATTCTTATACCTAGCATTATATATAAGTACTTACGAGGTAACCTAACCAATAATTGTGTTATTAATTTTAGTTAGAGAAACCGGTGTTCAATTCATACGTTAGTGACATGTATGGAATGTATTTAGAATACGATAAACCTGGTTTTACAGAAATAAAATCACAAATGGAAGCTCTGAACGCTACAAAAAGTAATAATTCTCAAATTTATCTTATTCGTACAAATAACCAATGATGTGTGTTTTTAGTTCGTTTCGTATTGGGAATGCTCGAACACATATTTGGGCCACACTCATTCCGACAAACAATCCAATATTTTATGTCTAGCAAGTACGTTCATACTTTAAACATAATATTATAATCAACAATTTATTAAGTAGTTTTGGCTTTAATGCTCTTTAAACAAAACTCGAATCCCTCATTTCTAATAACGAGTTCACGGACTTAAAAATCAAAAAATAATTATTTATAAAATCACTTATTAAACCTATTTGGATTTACGGTTTACAACCATGGGGTGTGTCTAAAATATCCAATCTCAATAAAATTGAAACATTTTAAAAATATCTCACTCTGAAAAATATCTAATGCTCCAATCATTGTTTCTAATTTTACTTTTCATAATTACTATCTTCATATCAAAAAAATTGACAAAAAACCTTCGATTTTGAATAAAAAATGTAGTGCTAAACTTGCAAGCCACCACTTCGGTTATAAAAAGCTTATACATCTCAACCCTTACTGAAAATTATCGTTGTGGGGTTGTAGGTTAAAGATAACAAAGTGTCGTGGCCTTCTTTAGACTTGCATGCAGCTATGTTCATTTTGTAAATCTGAAGTGAGACTAATTGGTGTCTTCTTTAACCATGCCAATTAAGCATGTTAAAATCGTATCATTGGTAAAATTCTTTTATTGTGCATAGTGTGTATAAATGATGTATATCTTAATTAAAAAAAAAAATGTATAGTTAAATATGATAGTATGTCCATAAATGTTTAATTCATTCTCTATGTCGAAGTCAAGTTTTTTGAACTGAAACTGTTTTTGTATAACATAATAGTATTAAATGTTATAGTCATAGATATTTTATTTTTTTTTTAAGAGAATATCATGCTTACTCTGAAACTGATTTTTGGAACAAATTATCCGATGGAGCATATCATGCGGGTGTATTAGTCAGAGTATGTTATAATTTAAGCTTTTTAATTTAAATTGAGTACCTACTTCAAGTTGAATAATTTGTATAATTTAATATTTTAGAATAGAAGTCCAGTTTCAATTGAACAAATTGTAAAGCCGTGGTTACAAGCTGATAGACTCCCTGTGGTTACATTTAGAAGAAATTATATAAACACTACTGTTCAAGTTATGCAGGTAATGTTTTTTAGTTAATTTAATAATAATATCAAACATCTTATCGAAAGTCATTACAATGCATTCTAATACACATGTATGTCAACTAGGAACCATTTGTATTAAATGACGATGAGGATGACGTGTCATCCCCCGCAAGGAATACTAAAAACTATTTATGGTGGATTCCCAATATTGTCGTATCACAAAATAATTTGACCGTACCAGTTAGAAATATAAGTTGGTTGAAACCAATAGCAAGTCAAGAGGTAGAAATGAAACAGTATAATTTCACAAATAATCAATTCGTACTCTTCAATCCAGGAAGTTTAGGTAAGTCATCATTATATGATTTCGCAATCTATGAATATGTTAAAAGTTTTATTTACTGCTTTTAAAATAAATAGATTTGGTTTAGTTATATTTAAATAATAATTGGTACCTATATACACTACCATTATATTTCAGGACCATTTATTGTTAATTATGACCTAAAGAATTGGGAACTGATAGCACAACATTCGAAACGTTTCCCAGTGAGCATTCGTCAACAGTTGTTGCATGACTCGCTAACACTTGCTTTATCTGGTCGATTGTGTTATGTATACGCATTCAACGTCAGCAAACTTATCGAGCAAGAGCCAGAACCTGCAGTTTGGAAAACGTATTTCGGATTGGCCACGAGATTGCGCATTAAGTTCCAGGGAACGCCAGTGGCTCCTAAATATGATGTTAGTTTAAAATTACCCATTTATATACCTTTGAAATATGTAATGTGATTACGATTTTGAACAGATATATTTGAAAAAAATGTTGAAATCTGTAAACGCTGCACTTGAACAACCAGAAAGAGGAGAATCCAGTTGGAAGGCAAATTTCCGTGCAGAAAATAAGCGTTTGCTGTGTGAAACAGGGCATCCGACTTGCTTGACAGAAGCCCGAGAAGTCCAATCGAGAACCAATACGTCAAATCCCGACGAGGATAAATTGTACGTTGTAATTTTTCTACTAAATTTGACTTACTTAATTTTTTCTGATGGTAATTATATACCTACCAGATGGTTTCCTTATTTTTATTTTTATTTTTTTTGGTGGTCATCGCTTCATAGGTTTCAGATTTTAACAGACACATTTCACTGTAGATCTTAATATATCACATTCATATGATATCAATCAGTAGATATCATATTTATTTTTACCGAGATTATAATAATAATAGTATAGGAATTTAATTTAATGGTAGGTCCTTTTTAAACATGTATAGTATTTCTAAACTTAAACCGCAAATTACACAAATAAAAAGCAATATAGCAAAAAATATTTTTAAAACTAAAGAATTTTATAATCAAACAAAAAAAGGTGCTCTGCTGTACAGTAGGTTACAAGTGGGTCACTGTTTAATTGATGGTATTAAATTTGAATTCAATAATAAAATATCATTGTATAAGAAAAACGATTCTGAGCGAAAACAGTCAGTCAGCCTATGATATTACAAAGTATATTTGATGATATTATTGTGAATAAAGTAATTTATATATTTACCTATTTACGTGGACCCTTGTTTTAAATTTTCAATCCTTAGCTATAAAAGTTGAACATTTTATAAATTTTTAAATACAGAATAATTATTAAATTTAAAAATGATAAATTTTGTGCTTATAAAAAAAAATTGTTCCTATGTATTTTTAATATTTTTCCCCTGTTATTGTTACAATATATCAAAAGCCTTGCATTAAATAGTCATGCTTTTTCGAAAAACAAATAAAGTTTTATTGATATTTATAGAAGAAAAAACTAAGAAAATTGAAAACGGAACAGCTCGTAAACAGCTCAAAAAGAGTCAAAATATTTTCAAATTTATATGGTGTATAGAAAATAAAAATATAAACATTTAGTAAAATTTTCATGTATCTACAGTTATTCGTTTTTGAATAACAATAAAATAACAAAACGGTACATAAGAAATCGAGTGAATATCCAATATTGAAAAAATACGAATTTAAACGCTCATAAAAATTCAATTTGAGTTTCATGTAGACATTTTGTTTTTGATAAAGGTAGATGAACTTATGAGTAATTTTGTATTACATTTTCAAATCTTAGATTTAAAAAGAAACTTTTTTATGAAATCTCAACTCAAAATAATTTGCTAACTTTCGTAATTTTTCGGTATTTTGTCAAGATATGAACTTTAAATACTTATAAAAAAAATTGTGACTATGTATTTTTAATATTTTTCATTTTCTATTGTAACAATTTATCAGGAGCCTTGCATTAAATGTTCACTCTTTTTTAATCGACAAATAAATTTTATTTATATTTATAGAAAAAAAAACTAAAAAAATTGAAAACTGACAATATCCGGAAGCAACTTAAAAACAGTCAAATTTTATCATGTATAGAAAATGCTAATATAAATATTCAGTAAAATTTTCTAGTATCTATAGTCATTCGTTTTTCAATTACAATAAAATAAGAAAATCGTTACAAGAGAAATCGAGTGAATATCAAATGTTGTAAAAATACGAATTTAAACGCTCATAAAAATTCAATTTGAGTTTCATGTAGACATTTTTTTTTGATAAATGTAGATGTAGGCAAACTTACGAAGAATCTTGTATTACAATTTCAAATCTTAGACTTCAAAACAAAATTTTTTTTGAATTTTTAACTCAAAATAATTTGTAAATTTTCGTCATTTTTCAGTATTTTGTAAATATTTGAACATAAATGCTCATAAAAAAAAATTGTCACCTAGGATTTTTAATTTTTTTCATCTACCTTTGAAAAATATACTAGTAGCCTTCTATTAAATTTTCAAGCTTTTTTAACCACCAAATAAAATTTAATTAATATTTATAGAAAAAAGAACTGAAAAAAAATGGAAACTGAAAATGTCCGTAAAGAGCTCAAAATAAGTCAAAATATTTGGAAAATGTTATGGTCTATAGAAAATGCTAATATAAACATTCAGTCAAAATTCCATGTACCTAAGTTCATTTGTTTAAGAGTTGCACCAAAAACCAAAATCGATTTTTTCGAAAACAGATTTTGCTTACAAATTACCGTTTTCCCTTAATTTTTCTTAACTAATGGAAAATTTTTACTTTTGACCCCCAAACAAATAACTAGATTCACTTTCCTATCAAAAAAGAAACTGTCGAAGAAAATTCATGCTATTTTACCGTCCTAAAAGGTGATGACAGACAAAAAAAAAAAATTTAAAAAACACACATCATTTTAAAATCAATACATTCATTGTTCTACTCATTGCACATGTATAGTACCTATTTTTCCACTTTAACCACAAATTATACAAATAAAAAGAAATATAGTAAAAAACATTTTTAAAACTGAAGAATTTTACAATCAAACAAAAAACTACGGATGTATGAGAAAAGTATTAAACGACAAAATGAAAACCCCTGTGTACCCATTATACTTTGAAATAATTTTAAAGTTATATAATATGTAGTCTAAATATACTGATATACCTATTGATAATTAGCACAAACCTATGATTAAGGACCAAACTAAAGTAACAAAAAAAAAATTTGTTAAAAAATAAATTTTATTAGGTAGTACATTTCGAACTTCTAGAGTCTAGACCACCTAGATCCGCATGGTTATGTAATCACTAATCATATTTATGACTTAATTATACAGTTTTGTTTTTGTCTGTTACACATTCTTATTAATAATCATAGATTCTTGGATAACTACCTGTGTATACTTCTTGGATATGGAACACTGGATGAATGGGAGTTTGGATTACATAGGATTATGTATTATCCAAAAAATAAGTCTCAAACAGAAAGATTATTTATATTCAGATCGTTAGCTAGCTGTCCTAAAAATGAAACAAAATTTGTCAGGTAACAAAATGTTAAACCAAAAATGTTGAAAATAATATAAACTAAATAATATTTAAATTGTATTTGTGATATCTATATATAAAAGAATGTTAAATTTGACGTTGATGAGTGGAGATCATAAGTTTAGCGAGGAGGATATGTTAACAATGTTGACTGTTATGAGTACGGTATCACTGGGACACGAAACAATGTTCAAATTCATGATGAAAAACTTCGAATATCTAAGCACTAAGTAATTAATATAATAATTATGATACCTTTATGAAAATAATGGTATTCTTCGAAAAATTATAATAATAATGTTGTGGTTTTTAGGTTGGAAAAGACTGTATGGGAATATTTTGTTAAAACGTCATTTAACAATTTTAGGACAGAAGAAGGACTAGATAAGGTTTGTAGTGATTATCAAAGTATAAATTTGTAAATAAAGTATAATACCTTAAATTATGTGTTTGATTTATAGGCCACCGAGTTTTATCAAAGAAACAAACGTCATTTTGTTTCTGTGGATGATATCATAAAAAATGCACTGGAGAAAGTTAAGATTCAAGTTGATTGGGTAAGGAAACATCTTACACCCTTGGACGGGTGGCTCACGAATGCTTTACAAGAGCCGTGGAGACCACACGAGTTCCAATTCAGAGATGTGCCATCATTTGTCATTGGATAAATCATATAATTATATATATATATATATAACAATAAAAACTACATAATATTAGGATTTTAATTAAGTTAATTTTTTCCAATTTTAAAACATTTTAAGATTTGTATAGTAATAAATGATTTTCTACATTAATTTTATAACACAATATGCCACAAAATATTTTATTGAACTACCACTTAAACGATGCATTTTCATTTATAATAGCAGCAGCTTCTAAACTATTTATAAATTCAATGTACGATGACTTCTTAGAAATGTGTACTGTTAATTTGCCACAATGGTTCTGTAAAAAGAAAATAATTTATAAATGCAATATAAAAAGATGGTAAAATTAAACAAACCAAATGTATTATCTATATTATATAAATATTTGTAAACATACTTTTTCAAAGTTAATACAGGAGTCCAAAATATCCGAAGTAGATGGTCTAGCGATGATCGTATTCGCTGCAAGTTGAGTATTATTAGGAATGAAATCTCTTACTGCACTTAATTGGTTCATAAGCACGTCTATCGAACTATTAATTTTTTCCTAGAAAAATGTAATATAAATTAAATAAATTCATAACTTGGTTCCTTAGAAAAACCATATTGAACACATATTTAATATATACAATTGTTGTGTAGTTAATATTGATTAATATATATTATAATTGAACATATTACAATTTTTTTATAGCATTTTTATGTCATCGGTAAAGACAATTTTTTTTTAAAAAATATGATTTAAATGTTCTTTCATGATATTTATATCACAATAAGTTTTAGATGATAGCGAACATTTTTTTAAGTAAATTAATAAATTGTATAAATTATTTTTAATTTTATTTTGAGGGTTGTGGATATATTTGAAGAAACAAATTATTTTACAAGGTCCCTTGAAGTTTGTTATTAGTGATTTTAACTCTGGTAACATAGTTTACCTTTGCTTCCAAATTTCCACTCAATTGTTCAAAATCGAAGTTATCTACAAGTTTTAAACGCTTTTTATTATCAGATGGACAGCCATCCAGTAATAAAAGATTGACGGTTTCACCAAATCCTTCCATTATCTTTGCAAGCTCCACCGCAATATTTCCACCCCATGTTTCGCCGACAATCGTGAATGGTCCTTCCAATTGAATTTGTTTCAAAGGCTACAAATAAATACTGTTACACTATGAACATATTGAGATTAATTATATGATAGTTACCCATAGTAAACCTAGCGCTGCATTTTCGATCGAGTTAATGTACGACGGAAATTTAGCACAAAATACTGGATGCATAATTTGATTGATTAAAGGTTGTATCCTCGAAACTCCTAATCCAGGAATAATGAACACTGGTAATAGACTATTATTACCAGTATTTGGAATACTTTTGGATGTACATTGTTCAAATCGTGGATATTCTGGCAAATCTATATTAAGGTCAAGTAATTCTTTGATGGTTTTTGGTAAATATTCTGAGGTTGAATCAAAGTTGTCTAAGAAAATAAAACAATGTATATAGGTATATATATATATTATCAAAAATATTATCAAAATGTATTTATGATTAAACATAAAAATTTAGTATTTTAGATCGTAAGCTAACCATGTTCAGATATTAACGGATCATCAAAAATTACAGAAATGGGCTTAGAATCATTTACAGTGTCCACCAATTTATTCATGTACTTTAATATGATTTCTGGTTTTCGAACGGATTTATCACACTGCACGTTTATACAATTATAATTTGCGTTGCTTCTTGATTCACAGACTTCGATCGCATCACTCTGCATGCATATGAAATGTTTTAAGTCTGGTAAAACATTTCTACAAGCTTTATCAATGTTCTTCAATTTTGTGTCACTCTAAACAAGAATATTCAATTAAAAAATATTTTTGCATACATTTATATTATAATGTTATACTATGTAACTTAACATACCGTTTCTACACAAAACAAAGCTTCAATTTTTGAATATGATACGAATTCCCGTAGCAATGTTTCCCCCTCTTTTGTAGTATTAAACCTTTCAGCCGAAGTCATGATAAACGAAACATCGGAGTACTTTTGAATTAGTGAATATATAGTTCTTTGACTCCTTCTCATTACTGAGTTGGTACCATCAATGATAAATATCAATTTTTTTGCCTCTTGTTGAAGAAGCCAGTTAACTGTTTTAATCCATAAATTCGTCGCAGAACCAATAATTATGTATGCCATTTCTTTTTTAACAAAACTATGATCTGAGTTATTTGTTTCAATTAGTTTCATTGAATTATGGACACTAAATAAAAAAATATTACAATAAATTCATAAAATACAAAAAACAATTTCAATCACAATCAAATTTTATATCGTACTTGTTAGTAGATGTTTTATTTGTTTTTGATATTTCTTCATATAATTTCCTAACTATTTTATCCTTGATACCATTTTCAACAAGCTGCCTCAGATGGTTTTTGGTTTCGATAGGAGAATTAACTATGTTTAATAAGTCTTGTACACCGTATAATGAAATATTTTTTAAAAACATATTCATGCCTGTGGAAAATAAATAAATTCAAATATAGGTAGGTACCTAGGTGTACTTCTATTTTAACCATCATTCTTACCAATTTCTGTATGCACGTTCACATCTTGTGAACCTATGTGTATAAATGAGCCAAACGGTTTAACACATCGAAGAGAAGCCAACAGGAATTCAGTTGGTATAGCATTGATGACGATGTCACATCCTTTTCCCTTTGTTAAACTCATTAGCTGTATTTCAAACTTGCTGTTATTGAGATCTAGTATGTTGCCGCTACTCAACTATTAATTTTTGCAAGAATTCAATGTTTTTCATTTATGTAAGTTTTAATGTTAAGTCTCTAAAACTATTTTTGAAGATTATATTATTCATTACCTTTGGAAATACACTTTTTATAAAGTCAGATTGCTCATTATTATATGTAGTTACGTAGATCTTACAATTAAAACCAAGGGCAACTCTTATAAATGCTTGTCCATCTTGTGAACACCCATTATGTATAAGAATTGAATCTCCAAATTTAACACGTGCTTTGCTTACAATACAATAGTAAGCCTGTAACAATTTTGAAATATAATTCAAACTTCATGAAAACTAAATTCAAATAATAATTACCATTGAGTAAGCTAATGGACACATTACTGACTCTTCCAAGGTCATTTCAGAATCTACATACCACTTTAGAATATTATCGATTTCGTATCGCTTATTTTTACATTTATATTTTAAAATACCCATTATACTTTTTCCTTCATTGTCTATACCCGAGTATTGAGTACATACTTCATCTTCCTTAATTAACAATACCATCATTAAATATAATATAATATACAGCAATACATTTATTGAAATATTAATGAGTATTTGTTACCATTAAATTTGTTTTAAAAGATCCTATATACTTGATGGAGAATTCACTAAAAATAAATAAATGTTAAAAAGAAAATGAAGAACATTTACAGTGTTTTGTTTTTTATACAAACCTTTCGGGATTAACATATTTTTGCAACTCATTAGTATTTAACTCTGTAGAAAGATTATCCATACAAGGAAGTATGGTATAACTTCCCCAGCTGTTATTTTTTAATATGTTTTGCCTTAACCCTTTAAATAGTTGTTCCCTGAAGAAGTTCTTGGTCAAATCAAACAATTTTACACCGTCGTAAAGTATGACATATCTAAAATGAAAGCAATGGTTAATTTTAAATCAGTTTTCTATTTTACAATATTTGATAATATATAATATAATAATTTTGTTTACCTAAAATCAATCATAGATTTGATATTTTCAATTTTTTGCACCACTTGCAATGAATTTTCTGAATCATTTTTAATCAAAACTATTGGCGAAACGTTACTAGATAATAATTTAAGTCCTTGTTCTATGTTATCTGTCCATGAACTGTTTTTAGTGCTAACCTCCAAAATTTTGTTCGGTAATTTCACTAGTCTTGTTATTAGACGATAAATAGAACCATTATGCTCATATTGAACCACTGTGGTATATGTATCATCAACAATTGAATTCTTTATCAAAACAAATACTTTTCCTGCGCAATTTTTTATATCTTTATTTAATTTTTCGTTTAAATATTCAGTTACCAAAAGTAATACATGATTGGATGCTAAATCTGTTATTTGAAAATTTGAATGGTATTCTTCAACATCTGCCTAATATACAAACAATGCAATAAATAAGTATCTTTGATGAATAAATAAATAAAAATAAGTTACAACCTTTAAAAATGGCTGTATTTCAAAAACCCTTTTAAATGATTCTACAAATAAAGCATCATTAATTTTTAATTTTGTTTTTAACTTTGATGGCGAGTGTACCGTATTTTTGACCAGTTGCACACAAATGCTTAAAAACTGCACAAAATTCTAAATAAACAATAACAATGATAAACAAATTATTTTTACTATTTAAATTTAAAATATTAGTTTATTAAAATTACTTGAATTTTAGGATAAGGTTGTTCAATAAATTGTACTTTTTGAATATTCAAATTTATAGGCATTGGATCAATTGTTGGAAAAATGGATGTCTTTAAAGTTTCAATTTCTATCCCAGGCCCTCTAATGACATTAGTTCGAGTATCAAATGTAATATAAACCATCGATCCATGATTAATATTTTTGATTATTTCACTATCGATAACTAAACTTCTAAACCAAGATGGAAGCAAAGGTAAGTCATGACGTGATTGAAGATCAGCAAACATTTTTAACTGCATCATCGAGTTGAGATTGATGTTAAGATCGTTTTTCCAAAATATATTTGCCAAGAAACCTAAAAACTTATAAATAATGTTGTAATGCAAGTATTGTAGTATTTTTAAAGTTCCTATTGTATATTTTACAGAATACAATACCTTTATCTCGAATAAGGATTTTTTGAATGGTACAATAAGGAGTTGAGAAATTAATATTATTTTCAGAAAATACTTTATATATTTCATTATCTGATATCCATTCATTTTCAATATTAACTTCATAATCTGTTGGTGGTTCTGGGCTAATAAGATGGTTACTATCATCGATGTACACCAATCCAGATAATAATACATGTCGAGATTCAATCACTTCAAAAGAACCAGTACCTGGTTGAATTTGTGTATAAAAACCATTGGACTCTAAAATAATATTTAATGTTACACAAAATATAGAATTTTCAGATCAGTAGTCATTCATATATTTTGATTACAGCATGTCTTAAAGATTAAGAATCAGTATAGGTAAAGTATTTAGACATTTCATATGACATGTAAATTTGATATGTAACGATGTGTTAAAAGCAGTTGAATACCTACAAGTATG